AAAAAAGGATGCTTAATAACCGAGCTTATTACGTGCAGAGAACGTGAAACCCGTCCACACGATACGCGCCACACAGCATGGCCAGAATAGACATAGTCTTTACCTTGCCGTTTATTCGGTGTTATTTGCTTACTTTACTTCCTATGTCTACAGCAACTATGAGTTTGAATACATGTATATATATATAACATGATGTATAACGAATATATAAAATTTGAATATAATCAGTCAAAGCATTTAAGAGATATGGCTCTAGAAGCCCAATCATTAAAACAAAATGGCCGCCAGTCAGCCATTTTGAATCCAATTTGAAAAATGAAATGACTTGCATCAGGAACCTGTAATGTCTAATGTAATGTACCAAGTTTGAACAAAATCCATCCATAAATGCAAGAAATGCATGATATTTGGGATTTTTTTAGCACAAAAATAATCACCATTTGGCCACTTTGAAAAGGGTCGTCAAACCAATATATCCGTATATCTACGACATGATGTATAATGAATATTAAAAATTTGAGCATAATCAGTCAAAACAAGTCAGACATATGGGTCTGAAAACCCATTCATTAAAACAAAATGGCCGCCAGACAGCCATTTTGAATCTGATCTGAAAAATAAAATGACGTGCATCAGGAACCCGTGATGTCTAATGTATTTACCAAGTTTGAACAAAATCCATCTATAAATGCCAGAAATGCTTGATATCTGATGATTTTTAGCACAAAAATGACCACCATTCGGCCATTTTGAATAGGATCGTCAAACCAATATATCTGTCTATGACATGATGTATAATGAATATTTAAAATTTGAACATAATCAGTCAAAACAAGTCAGAGATACGAGTCAAGAACCCTATTCATTAAAACAAAATGGCCGCCAGTCAGCCATTTTGAATCTTATCTGAAAATCAAAATTATTTGCATGAAGGTCCCATAATGACTAATGTATATATTAAGTATGAACAAAATCCATCTGTAAACGACAAATACTTGATTTTTATGATTTTTTAGCACAAAAATGGCTGCTAATCGGCCATCTTGAATCAGATCGTAAAACAAAATGTGCATCAAGGTCCTATAATGTCCAACGTATATAAAAGGTTTGAACAAAATTTATCTGTAAACAGCCGAAAAATGCTTGATTTTGATGATTATTAGCACATAAATCAGATCGTGAAACAAATTGACGTGCATATGCATAATATTATGTATGATGTATGTGTGAAGTTTGATTGTGATTGGTCCAGGCATTTCTAAGATACAGGTCCGCATGTACATACGCATGGACACACGGAGGTCAAAAACATAAGTCCCCGTTTTCGTTGCGTCCGATATCAATAACAAAAAAATTTATCATTCTGTAAAAAGTTATATCATTCTGCATTTGTTCAAACATTCAAATTTCCCTTTATATAAAATAACTGCATCACCAACATTCCTGATTATTGACATCACACTTGAATGCTTTCATTTGGTCACATTTGACACAGAAGCATTATAGAATGTGATGAAAATAGAATCCTGTCATTTCCACTGCCACTGCATATTACAAAATGTTGTTTTTTACTTTGTCATTTTTATCTCTCTAACAAAGACATGTGAAGACAATTTGCTCTTAGCAATAGCACTAACCTGATTGATGGTCCTTTCCATCTGTATTATACCCAGTGATGGCAATGTGTTCTTCAGGAAATCTACAATGCTTTCAAAGCTACTACACTGTAGTATGAGTTCAGAATGACTACCAAGAATTATCAGAGATACTTTAATGACAACATCCATGCCTTGTAAAAACAACAGATCTAAAAAACACAATATATATCATATGATTTGTTGTGTACGGTACTCGTCTGACTTAGTGCCCATGCTTGACTAAGCGCCCAACCCCAACTTTTGGGACATTTCTACTTCTGGGGTCACATTGGGATTATCACCCATTCAAATTTGACTATCTATTTATAAAAGCTGGTATTTGGATTTTAATGTTGTTTGACTTTTCTTAACAAATTACAATGTGAATATCGACTGCCGTGAATTTAGCGTGAACAGGTTAATGATCTACCACCATTGATAACTCACTTCTGCATTGTGTTAAAAGATAATGATAAAGATTTTGACTATTACAAACCCTGATATATCAAAAATTCTGATGGCATGTATTAATATGCTTATTTTTTGTTTCTTGATTGTAAAATAATTGTATAATTTTTTTGAGGGGGTGTTTGACCTAAGACATTAGATGTCTAATCTAATGTCTTCGGCTTGACTAAGTGCCCACCCTCATAAAAAACATGATTTTTGGAGCCGAGTACAGTATATATTCTGTACATACAGATCTATGGTAGCCATAGAAACCACATTATCGGGTGTTACACACAGATAATTCAATTTTTTGCTGTAATGTAACAAATAAACTGAGTATTCTATTTGTTGGAGATAATTAGAATTGTTCATACTTGTAGCAAACTACTAATCAATCAAATAAACCTGTGTATAGTGACTACCCAAGGCTGTCTTTATATGGAAGTTGTTTACATGCAAGCATCTTTGCCCTTTATACACAGGTTAATTTAAGCAATTTACATTGGATAGGTGGCTTTACACATATCACTTCACATGTAGATTGCTTTGGAACTGTCTCAGGAGGGGGGGGGGGGGTCAATATGGGCAGGTGGACTATATAAATGTGGTCACTATGGACAGGTGGTCTTTATGTAAAGATGGTCAATATGGGCAAGTGGTCTTTATATAAAGGTTAATTGTCACTATGGGCAGAAGGTCTTTATATAAAGGTTGTCACTATGGGTAGATGGTCTTTATATAAAGGTTGTCGCTATAAGCAGGTAGTCTTTATATAAAGGTTGTCAACCTTTGGGCAGGTGGACTTTATGTAAAGGTGGTCACTATGGGCAGAAGGTCTTTATATATAGGTTGTCACTATGGGTAGGTGGTCTTTATATAAAGGTTAATTGTCACTATGGGCAGAAGGTCTTTATATATAGGTTGTCACTATGGGTATGTGGTCTTTATATAAAGGTTGTCACTATAAGCAGGTGGTCTTTATATAAAGGTTGTCAACCTATGGGCAGGTGGATTTTATGTAAAGGTGGTCACTATGGGCAGGTGGTCTTTATGTAAAGGTTAATTGTCACTATGCGCAGAAGGTCTTTATATAACGGTTGTCACTATGGGTAGGTGGTCTTTATATAAGGGAACAGTAGGAAATCAAACTCGCGGTTTACCGCGGTCATTACCGCGGTGGTGGTGGTGCTCGCCGGTCGACCGCATTTTATGCAAATTTATGCATAGAGTCCATAACCCGGGTTTACCGCGGTCGTGTGCGGTAGGCTCGCATGGCAATTTACACCCTATTGTTAAGACTATGAATGGACACAATAGACTGGGAAACTAAAGGTTACTTGCCGCCAAGTTCCAATAATAAAAATCGAGTGGTACCAGAAGATTGGAAAAATAGTCTCTATTAGTTCGCAGAAGAACACTATTTTATTTTCATGAGTCTTGGTATAACATCGCAAAGCAACCCAGAATAATGTAGACCCCACATAATGTAAAATAATATCACATTATTTTGAATTTACATTGTTACGTTTGAGTTTATTTTTATGTATTTATTATTTGTGTAATTTGTAGTTGGGGTTTTATTGAAACGTCATATTGTCCTCGGTCGTTTTATGTTGTGTTCTTTTGTCAATTTATCCCTATTTTGCATATTTATTTGTACTGAGTTAGGGAGTCTGCTTTGGCTATAAAAGCCTTTTGTTTTACGTTGACGACGAGAGACGGCAATTAGACGGTAAACTGATAGCAAGAAGACTCTTTTTGCCGTTTTTAAACGGAAGTCTATATTGGATGTATGTTACTGCTAGCATTTTTGTTTGAGGTGTGGTGTAGCACACAAAGTTATGTGACATTTCAATAGGCCATTGAAAATATACTACCGTACTATCTTGCACACTGCTTGCGATCGGGCGTTTTATTTGTTATACGAGTCGAGTACCAGCATCTGAACGTAACAACATCATGTATAGTCTCAGGATTTATTTTAAAAGATTAATGTTTCGCGTATACCAAGATAATCGGGCGAAGTATAAATTCCAAGTGTAAAACACTCGATGAGAGGCCACAGTTTACGTTACCTCGAGACCATGCACTAAGTAGGAAAAGCAAGCCGAAGTCGAAGAGGGAGTGCCACACACTTGGTGCTACAATATGGTGACCATTCGTGCTCCGCGCGTTGACCTTTTTATTATACACATCCCATTACGCAAATTTTTACTGGCTCTGCATTGCCTACGTAAAAATTGTTACCGTTCTGGTTGTGAATATTTCATCATTGCCGACGTGATAATGCGTTGCCTTCGTAATAATTACGCAAACTTATTTTTTATACCCCTGTCGACACCTCGAGTCAGGCTGCTATCACCCTTTCTATTTCAGTAATTGACGGTCTGTAGGTGTTAAGTTGTCATCTCCAACTGATTGAGCGGGCAATTAAATACGCGATAATACCAGACTTAGTTTTTCTACTTTAAAACTGACGGCAAAACACAATACAATCGTCCGGAGCCATCAAACTACGCGACTTAGTCGAAACCGC